AAAGTTGTGAATGTAGAATGTGAGTAAATGAAGTTTAGAAAATGCTGTACACTACCATAGCTTCCTCTTCCTGGGAAAACATTCTTTCTTTCAGTGAATATTTATAAGTACCCCCTCTGTCTTTGCTAAGCGTTGTTGTACAGTTCAGTATGGTGTACACTAGCCACATGGGGCTGTTGAGCACTGCAGCTATGCTGTGAGCATAAAATACATTCTGGATTTTGAAGACTTAGCATGAAGAAAAAGTAAAATGTCTCACTGATACCTTTTATGTTGTAGTAAATGATCATATAATATGTGTAAACATGTATGGTAACATTTTGGATTTATTGGGTTAAATGCAACATAATTATAAATAGTTGGTTGGACATGGTGGCTCATGCCTATAATTCCAGCACTTCAGGAGGCCAAGGTGGATGGATTTCTTGAGCCCAGGAACTTGGGACCAGCCTGGGCAACATGGCGAAACGCCGTCTCTACAAAAAATACAAAAATTAGCCAGGTGCAGTGGCGCCCGCCTGGCTACTCAGGAGGCTGAGGTGGGAGGATCACCCAAGCCTGGGGAGGTGGAGGCTGCAGTGAGTTGTGATCGTGCCACTCACTGTACTCTAGCCTAGGTGACAGAGTGAGACCCTGTCTCAAAAAAAGAAAAAGAAAAAAAAGTTTCACGTTTTTGTCTTTTTTTCCCCCACTTAACCTTGACTTGACACCAGCACTTTTTTCTTTTTAAAATGTGTTTCCTAGAAAAATAAAAAATTATAAATGTGGCTTGCACTTGTGGCTCCCATCTTATTTCTATTGGACAAACCTGTTCTGAATGCCAGGAATATAGCAGTACAAGAAAGGCAAGGATCCCCACCCTTGCGGATCTTCAATTTGATTAGAGAAGGCCACATTGATAACTAAGTAGAATATGTATTACGTTGTAATAAAGCAGGGAAGAGGGATGTAGGTTGCAGTTTAAATGAGAATCCTGGCCAGGTGCGGTGGCTCATGTCTGTCATCCCAGCACTTTTGGAGGCTGAGGCGGGCGGATCACTTGAGGTCAGGATTTCAAGACCAGCCTCAACAACATGGTGAAACCCCATCCCTACCCAAAATACAAAAATTAGCTGGGCTTGATGGCACATGCCTGTAATTCCAGCTACTCGGGAGGCTGAGGCACGAGAATTGCTTGAACTCGGGAGGTGGAGGTTGCAGTGAACCAAGATCGTGCCACTGCACTCCAGGCTGGGTGACAAAGTGAGACTCCGTCTTGCTTTTGTAGAGATGGGGAGTGGAGGGGAGGGGGTCTCACTGTTGCCCAGGCTGGTCTTCAACACTTGGCCTCAAGCCATCCTCCTGCCTTGACCTCCCAAAGTGCTGAGATTACAGGCGTGAACCATTGCACCTGGCTCAGTCTCTTAACTCTAAATACTATCCACTTGCTAACAGCTTCCATATGTGTATGTCTAGCCTGGGCCTGTCTCCAGACTTCTAGATCCAATTGCCCACAATATCTTCACGTGGATTCCTATCAGGCATTTTATAATCAACATCAACAAAATTGAGCTCCAACCCTGCCCCTCATCTAGCCTTCCCCATCTCAGTGAATGACAACTGCATTCCTCCAGTTGTTCAAGCCAAAGACCTTGGAGTCACCCTTGACTCATCTCTTCCTCTCACACCCCACATCGAACTCAGCTCGTCCACAAAGCCTACTGGCTGTACTTCAGAGTACACCCTGGATGCATCTTTCCCCTGGATGATGGCAACAGCCTCCTAACTTGTCTCCCTCTTCCATCCTGGCTGGCCTTCACTTTCTCCACACAGGACCCAGGGCAAGTCTGTTAAAAGGCAGGGTAGATCCTGTCCACTCCACTGCCCAACTCAAACCCTCCAATTGTCCCAGCTTAACTGGAGTGAAAACCAATACCCTACAATGGCCTGCAAGCCTTCCATGACCTAATCTCTCCTCCCACACCCACCACCACCCCGACCTCCTCTCTCCACTCCTGCTCACTCAATCCCCTCCAGCCACACTGGCCTCCTGACGGGTCCCAAAACCTGCCAGGGGTGCTCCTTCTTTGGGGCTTTTGAACTCTGCCTGGACCCCTTTGCCCCCATTCAGCCACATGTCCCCTTCTTTCCCTCACCTCCTCAGATCTTTACTCAGCCATCACCTTCAGAGAGAGGCTTTTCTAGAGATCCTCTATTTATTTTATTTTATTATTTTTGGAGTCTTGTTCTGTTGCCCAGGTTGGAGTGCAGTGGTACGATCTTGGCTCACTGCAACTTTCGCCTCCCAGGTTCAAGTGACTCTCTTGCCTCAGCCTCCCGAGTAGCTGGGATCACAGGCATCCACCACTATGTCTAACTAATTTTTGTATTTAGTAGAGATGGGGTTTCACCAGGTTGGCCAGGCTAGCCTCAAAATCCTGACCTCAAGTGATCTGCCTGCCTCGGCCTCCCAAAGTGCTGGAATAGTGTTTTTGTTTTTTTTTTAATCTTTTTGAAAACCACAAGCTAATGGGTTTCTTTTTTCTCAAGGAGGCTACTCTTCCAACTGTGCATCTTTGTAGCACCCCTGAAATCAATTTGAGTGCCAATTTCTGTAATTAGTCTGGCTTCCTGGGTTGGCATCCAGTTTAGAGGCCTCCAGGATGGATGGATAATGGGCTTTTTATGTTTAAAATATGTACTGGTTTTTTCAAACATGTATTGAATGCATGTTGTCAGGCATCCCACCATTTTATACATTTAACCTTGTTGAGGTGAAGTGACCCTCACGAGGTCAGGTAGCTAAGAAAGGAAAGAGATAGCCATTTGAATCTTGGTCTTCAGAGTCCAGATCTGGTCCTTCTACCACTTATCATTAGTAAGATGGGTGGAATGGCTATATGAACATAAACTTCCATTGGGATCAAATCATTGAGTTGCTTTTGAGTGACTTTGAGTCCCTTAGGACTATTATGTGTCACAGGCAGAAAGGGAATTTATCAGGTAAAGAAAGGCAGATTTATTAAAGTATGAAAACACGTTGCAAGAAAGCAATGGGCAGCACAGCAGAGAAGGGACTGTCTGCAAAGAGGCAGGGGATGGAGGGAAGTTTTACAGGGTCGTGCTGGAGGGGACTATGTGGGGATCGATGTGTCTGAGGGCTGTTTGTGATTAATCATTTCTCAGAACAACTGTCCATGGTTTTCCCCCACCTGGGGCCCCTTCCTCTTTGCTATTTACTTATCTTATTAGGACTCCACATTATGGACCCTGAAATTTCTTTTTTTTGTTTGTTTTGTTTTGTTTTGTTTTGTTTTTGAGACAAGGTCTCATTCTGTCACCCAGGCTGAAGTACAGTGGCATGATCATGGTCCACTGCAGCCTCAACCTTTTGAGCTCAAGTGATCCTCCTATCTTAGCCTTCCAAGTAGCTGAGACTTGTAGGTATGTGCCACCACGCCTAGCTAATTTTTAAAATTTTTGTAGAGATGGGGTCCCACTATGTTTCTCAGACTGGTCTTGACCTCCTAGGCTCAAGTGATCCTCCTGCCTCAGCCTCCCAAAGTGTTTGGGTTTACTGGTGTGAGCCACCATACCTGGCTAGGGCTCTGGAATTTCTGAGAGATGGGAACAAAAGGGAAGATGTTTCCCCCTGGATGATGTGACAGGTTAGATTCTAACCAAAATCTTTTTAGGAGGTTGCAGTTCCCTGTTTTTCACCCCACCGCAGTTTATAGCAAATAGTCAGTGATTTAAATCATTACTACTAATAATAACTATTAGGAAAATACCAGCCAGGCATGGTGGCTCACGCCTATAGTCCCAGTACTTTGGGAGGCCGAGGTGGGTGGATCACCTGAAGTCAGGAGTTTGAGACTAGCCTGGTCAACATGATGAAACCCTGTCTCTACTAAAAATACAAAAAATTAGCCAGGTGTGGTGGCAGACAGCTGTAATCCCAGTTACTTGGGAGCCTGAGGCAGGAGAGTCGCTTGAACCCAGGAGGCAGAGGTTGCAGTGAGCCGAGATTGCATCACTGCCCTCCAACCTGGGCAACGAGAGTGAAACTCCATCTCAAAAATAATTAAATAAATAAAAAAATAACAAGTACCAAGACATGGCAGTTCTGACCTAGGGGCCGTCCTCTTCCTCAAGTCACCCCATTGCAAAAATAATTAAATAAATAAAAAATAACAAGTACCAAGACATAGCAGTCCTGACCTAGGGCCCATCCTCTTCCTCAAGTCACCCATGCCTTTTGCTTCTTGTTTTGTCTTCAGATCTGCTTTCCACTCGGCCTCTTTTATTCTTAGCTTATAATTCCACGGGGCTTCCAATAGTGTACCTCCCTGCTCCCTCCCGTTTTCTCTTTTTCCATGCTTAGTCTTTGTAAGGCTGTCATTTGGCAAAGTTGATTCTGTTTGATTGTTTTTCAATATGGGCCTTTGGAGAATGGAAGGTAGTAACTCAATGCTGGGCAGAGGAAGGAGGCCAAGAAAGAAGCATTAGTGTTGGAGTAGCATGAGCCTGTGAAGAAAATGAAAACCTTTTGGACAGAGCTTTTCCTTGTGTATCTTTCAAGAAATGGGTACAGGCCGGGCACAGTGGCTCACACCTGTAATCCCAGCACTTTGGGAGGCCGAGGCGGGTGGATCATGAGGGCAGGAGATCGAGACCATCCTGGCTAATGTGGTGAAACCTATCTCTACTAAAAATACTAAAAACTAGCCGGGTGTGGTGGCGGGCACCTGTAATCCTGCTACTTGGAAGGATAAGGCAAGAGAATCTCTTGAACCCAGGAGGTGGAGGTTTGCAGTGAGCCGAGATCACACCACTGCACTCCAGCCTGGGTGACAGAGCGGGACTCCATCTCAAAAAAAAAAAAAAAAAAAAAAAGAAAGAAGCTCTGCCTGTTTCTACAAGAGCTGGTTAATTAGAAATAAAATCTTTGTGAACCCATGGATTATATTGAAAAAAATTTTTTTTAAACAAGAAATAAAATCTTGATACTAGTGAGTAATTTCTGCTTTTCCCTGGCTCCTTCTACACAGGTCTTTTCATCTCAAGATCAATGTTCATTGGTTTCTTGACTCAAAGCTGGGTGAAGAATTTTAGGAATTGAGGTGCTTATAATGCCAGAGCCTAGAATTTCAGGACCGAGAAGGGGTTTCGTTTGGAGTTGATATTTGAAGAGCTCTTACTCTGTGTCCTCTGCTTTACCTGAACTCGTGTAGTCAGTACAATAATCTTAGAAAGTAAGTACTATTATTATTGGGTTCATTTCACAGATGAGAAAACTGAGATTTAGAGAGGGTAGGTATGATTTTGTGAAGTATATATTTAGTCTTCCTCCCCTTTCCTGACCTATAACTCCTAAAATCCTTGAAGTCTCCCAAGTGATCAGTGTCTTTTTTTTTTTTGAGATAGAATCTTGATGTGTCACCCAGGCTAGAGTGCAGTAGCGTAATCTTGGCTCGCTGCAGCCTCTGCCTCCTGGGTTGAAGCGATTCTCATGTCTCAGCCTCCCGAGTAGCTGGGGCTACAGGCACATGCCACCACACCCAGCTAATTTTTGTATTTTTAGTAGAGATGGGATTCCGCCATGTTGCCTAGGCTGGTCTCGAACTCCTGAGCTCAGGTGATCCACGCGCCTCGACCTCCCAAAGTGCTGGGATTACAGGTGTGAGCCACTGCACCTGGCCAGTGTCTTTTTGTGTGCTAATAATTGACCTTTGGTTGGGGACTCCTGGATAGTCTCAGGATGAGGGGGCCGGTGGCCAGGGAAGCCAGCCTTGTGGTTAGAGTGTTGGAACTTTTAGTCCTACACCCAGCCTCTGGGACAGGGAGAGGAACTGAAGGTTGACTTGATCTCCAGTGGCCAGTGACTTAATTGATCATGCCTGCATAATGAAACTTCCATAAAATCCCTGAAGGACTGGGTTTGGGGAGCTTCTGGATGGCTGAACACCTGGAGGTTCTTGGAGGATGGCGTCCCCAGGGAGGGCTTGGAGGCTCTGCACCCCTTTTCACATGCCTTGCCTTAGCATCTCTTCATTTGTATCCTTCGTAATATCCTTTATAATAAATCCGTAAATACAAATAAAGTGTTTCCTTGAGTCCTATGAGCCACTCTAGCAAATTTATGCTTCCTAAGAACTTTGATTTATAGCCGGTCGGTCGGCGGCACTGGTAAAACAACCTGGAGCTTGCAATTGACATTGCGAGTTGGGGGCAGTCTTGGGGGACTAAACTTGTGGGATCTGATGCTACTTCCAGGTGGATAGTGTAGGAACTGAATTGGAGGACACCAGCTGGTGTCTGCCAGCTGCAGAATTGATTGCTAGCTTGGTGTATGGGGCTTCCGCACATCTGGTGTCAGAAGTATGCTGTGGGGCTGGGCGTGGTGGCTCGTGCCTTGTAATCCCAGCACTTTGGGAGGCAGAGGTAGGAGGATCTCTTGAGCCCAGGAGTTTTAGATCAACCCGGGCAGCATAGTGAGATCCTATCTCTAAATATTTTTTGAAAAAATCAAAGTATTCTGTGTTGTGAGAGTATAGCAGGAAGAAACTGAGTTTGCTTTTTCCTCTCCATCCTCTCAGTAAGTAACTTGCTCAGGATCACTCAAAGGCAAATGAGTGGTTCAGTTTATTAGCCTCCAGAAGATTGACAGGTGTTAAAGGTCGTTGCTGAAGTAGGGTAATAAAAGTGATCAGGTGCTTCAGATATTGCAGGAGCTGCGACGTGCTCAATCTGATGTGTGGTTGTTTTCTCCTGTCAAAAGTTCTTTTTTTTTTTTTTTTTTTTGAGACAGAGTCTTGCTCTGTCGCACAGGTTGAAGTGCAGTGGTGCCATCTCTGCTCACTACAAGCTCCATTTCCCGAGTTCATGCCATTCTCATGCCTCAGCCTCCCGAGTAGCTGGGACTACAGGCACATACCACCATGCCCAGCTAATTTTTGTTCTATTTTTTAGTAGAGACAGGGTTTCAGCATGTTAGCCAGGATGGTCTCGATCTCCTGACCTCATGATCCGCCTGCCTCGGCCTCCCAAAGTGCTGGGATTACAGGCGTGAGCCACTGCGCCTGGCCCTGTCAAAAGTTCTTTAAGAATTACTATTATTTTTCTTTTTGAGATGAAATCTCGCTCTGTCCCCCAGGCTGGAGGGCGGTGGTGCTATCTCAGCTCACTGCAACCTCTGCCTCCCGGGTTCAAGCGATTCTCTTGCCTCAGCTCCTGAGTAGCTGGGATTACAGGTGCCTGCCACTATGCCTGACTAATTTTTGTATTTTTAGTAGAGATGGGGTTTCACCATGTTGGCCAGGCTGGTCTGGAAATCCTGACCTCGGGATCCACCCGCCTGGGCCTCCTCAAGTGCTGGGATTACAGGCGTGAGCCTCCGAGCCTGGAGGACTGTAGCTTTGTAGTAAGTTTTGAAATTGGAAAGTGTTAGTCTTCAAACTTTGTTCTTTTTCAAGATTGTTTTGGCATTCTGGGTTCCTTGCATTTCCTTACTTCAGGGTAAGCTTGTCAATTGCTGAAAAACAATTCGGTTTTTCTTTTTGTTTGTTTTTGTATCTGGCTTTGTGGCCAAGGAGTTCCTCAATGGTTGTTGACATTTAGGTGTGAAGTACCCATGGGCTGATCTGCTCTCTGTGCTAGGACCAGTGCGAGTGCAGAAGGTGAGTTGGGCGGGGGAAATTGACCTCTTCAGTTTATAATGTAGACTTTCACTGTCTCCCTGGGTCAGTATGGTGCCTTATCCCTATTGTCAGCTGTGCCTGAAGTCTTGAGTTTGGTTTCGCCTATTGAGAAACTAAAAGTCTTTTTATTTATTTATTTTTTTCCGAGACGGAGTCTCGCTCTTGTTGCCCAGGCTGGAGTGCAATGATGTGATCTTAGCTCACCACAACCTGTCTCCTGGGTTCAAGCTATTCTCCTGCCTTGGCCTATCCCAAGTAGCTGGGATTACAGGCATGCACCACCACGCCTGGCTAATTTTGTGTTTTTAGTAAACACAGGGTTTCACCATATTGGTCAGGCTGGTCTCGAACTCCTGAACTCGGGTAATCCGCCCGCCTTGGCCTCCCAAAGTGCTGGACTAAAAGTCTCTGCTTGGGATTAGGAAGCGGCAACTGCTTGGTTGAACTGGGTGGGGAGGGGACTCTGGGACTCTAATCGTTCCCAAGATAGGCTTTTGCCAGTCCTCCTGTTTTTAGCCTCACTTTTACCCTTTCTTTCAGAGGTACCTGGTTACCACTGATGCAGGGCAGGTGAGCGCCAAAACTGGGGGGTTAGTCTGGCTAGGTTCTTGACTTTGCCCTGGAAAGAATTCAAGGACAAGCTGGTAGTAGAAGAAAACAGCTTTATTGAGGCAGCGGAGTTACAGCTCCGTGACTGCTCCTGCAGAGCAGGGCTACTCCATAGGCAGTGTGTCCTGAGTAGCAGCTCAGGGACAATTTTGCTGTTGTATTTATACCCAGTTTTAATTATATGCAAATTAAGGGGTGGGCTATTAGATATTTCTAGAAAAGTGGGGGTAACTTCTGGAGCATTACCATGGCATTGGCACACTGTCGTGGCACTGGTGGGTGTGTCTTTTGGGGAGGTGCTTTTGGTGCCTCTTCCCTGTTTCAGCCAGTCTTCAGTCTGGTGCTGAGCCGAGACCTGCCTCCTGCCTCACCACCAATTATTGACCCTTTCTGGAATTCTTCATTGCTAGTCCGCTTTCCTCCTGTTGACCTCTCTCGTGGGTAGCTAAGTTTCAGTTCCGACACACTGGAACCATTTTCCAAAATTTTGCTGCTATTTCTGTTGTTTTTTTTTTCCCTCTTTCTGTGGGTTTTCACCTTTTTGTATTGCTTTCCTGTCATTTTGGTGAAGTTTGAGAAGGGAACAGAGATAAATGTATGTGTAATCTGCTGTGTGTATTGAGAGCTCCTGGAAGGCTAAGGGAAGAACTGGCCTCTAGGAAGACACAAGTGCTGCTACTACTTTGTTTCCTTAGCAACAGTCCTGATTCCTGATGGGGCAGCTCCTTCATTGTATTCTGTTCCTACTGATACACATTGCTCCTTTTTTTTTTTTTTTTGAGATGAGTCTCATGCTGTCGCTTAGGCTGGAGTGCAGTGGCGCAATCTTGGCTCACTGCAACCTTCGCCTCCCAGGTTCAAGTGATTCTCCTGCCTCAGCCTCCTGAGTAGCTGGGATTACAGGCGCCGACTACCACGCCCAGCTAATTTTTTTTTATTTTTAGTAAAGATTGGGTTTCACTGTGTTGGCCAGGCTGATCTCGAACTCCTGACCTCATGTGATCCACCCACTTCGGCCTCCCAAAGTGCTAGGATTACAGGCATGAGCCACCGTGCCTGGCCTCCTTTTTAAATTTTTTTAAATTTTTATTTATTTTTTTAAACAGGGTCTTCCTCTGTTCAGGCTAGAGTGCAGTGGAGTGATTATAGCTCACTGCAGCCTCAACCTCCTGGATTCCAGTGATTTCCCACCTCAGCCTCCCGAGTAGCTGGAACTACAGACACGCACCACCATGTCTGACTAATTTTTTGTAGAAATGAGGTTTCTCCATGTTGCCTAGACTGGTCTCGAATTCCTGGGCTCAAGCAGTCTGCCCATAGCCTCCTAAAGTGCTGGGATTACAGGCATGAGCCACTATACCCGGCTGCCCCAGTTTTTCATTTGCACAATTTTCTATGCAAATTTTTTGCATCTTTTTAGTTCAGCCAAATTAGCTGAGGTCTAAATTACTCCTTTTAGTGCAGTCACATTAGTTGAGGTTTCAACAAATTCGTTAACACTAAACCAGTGGTCCTCAACCCAGCTTCATATTAGGATCACTTGGGGAATTTTTAAATAACACACCTGTCCCTGGCCCAACCCAGACCAATTAGATGGGAATCTCTGAGGGTGGGGTTTGGTGGTCAGTGCCGTTTTTTTTTAATGGTCCCCAGATAATTCAGATGTCTAGAAAGGATGGAGAACCACTGCTCCAAGGCATCTGATCCTTCATTAAAGGATAATTTAACCTAACTCTACACATTCAATTACATCTGTTATCTTATTGTTATTCTCTCCATCTTATGTTTCTCCCCAACGTTGGCCCCTTTCCTTCCTTATATTCCCCAGATATGCTGTCATCTCAACAGCATTTGCTCATACCTTTTTTTTTTTTGAGACAGGGTCTTGCTCTGTCACCTATGCTGGAGTGCAGTGGTGTGATCATAGCTCACTGCAGCCTCGACCT